TTAATTATGTAAAAACTTATTCAGGATGCCTGGGCGCATTGGCCATGCCTGTCATCTGAGAGGGATTAGGAGGCTGAGGCAGGGTGGTCCCAAGTCCCAGCCCAGCCTGGGCAACTTTGTGAGACCCTGTCTCAAAATGAAAAATCAAAAGGACTGGAGGTGGAGCTCAGTGCAAAGGCCCTAGGTTCAATCCCTGGAACTGAAATAAAGCAAAGGCCTTCCTGAAGGGGAGACTGAGTGAACAGACTGCCTGGAGTGCCCTGCCAGCACTGATCCTGCCTTCCATCCCTCCCCACCTCTTCCTGCCGCACTTTCTCCTCTATGCTTACTGAAGCCAGGGAATCTTTCTTTCTTTTTTTGTTTTTTGTTTAAAAGTTTTGTGTCATACAAACTGTCTTCATATACAAGTGCATAAGGAAAAACTTCTCCCGGCTGGGGATTTAGCTCAGTGGTTCCACCACCTGCTTCACAAGCATAAGGTCCGGAGTTCGATCCCCAGTACAAAAAAAAAAAGAGAAACAACAGAAAAAAACAAACCAAACTTCTCCCTTCTTCCCAAACATCACAGTGGGGCCCATTTGTGCTAATACATCACAAAGTTAAAACAAATGTCCCCTTCTGAATTCTGAACAGCTAATTCTAGACACTAGCTCTTCAATGTTTTGTTTTGGTTTTTAGTCTAGGCTGCCCTTGAACTCCTGATACTCCTGCCTCAGCCTCCCAAGTACGAGGATTACAGGTATGGACTCCCAGGCCCAGCTTGGTTTTTTGAATAATCTTGTCTTACAGATCCAGTATGGACGCAAATAGATCCAGTGCTTTTCAACTCATCCCTGAATTCCTCTCTTTGAAGTTCCAGGTGGTAATTAATTTTAATGCCCTCAGATTGCATAAAGTGGATTAGGGCTCATAAATTACCTACACTCAGAGTAAAGCTGTGACTTATACGTTATATCCTGACACCATCTAGCAGTCCTCCTCAGCACATTCAAGGGACTAGTTCATCCAAAGAGCAAAGATGAGACAGTGATAGTCTCAAAATCGCTAGGGAATCTTTCTACTCTCCAGGTTCCCCATCCTCCACCCTCTGCCCTTTGAACCTCTATCCACTGGGAAGCCCCAGGGATCCTTCAACTAGTCCATCTGCCCTTGCTGATCTAGCTCCAGAGCCTGGTGTGGCTCCCCAGTGCCTTGTGATACTAGTAGTCTGGTCTTTGCCAACCTGTCCAGCTCTGTCTATCCTCCCTGACCACTACCCAAGTCCCACCTTTCACCTGCACTCTTTCCCTGTCTGATCCCTGCTCGTTTCTGGGAACACTTGTCTTCCCAGTGGATTATGAGTGACTTGAAAGCTGCCCAGGGCTGCCGAGCCGGAGACTGCTACACAGCAGTGCTTAATAATTAGTTATTGAGGGCCAGGGATTTAGCTCACTGGCTTTACTGCCTGCCTTGCAAGTGCAAGGTCCCGATTTTGATCCCCGGTACAAAAAAAAAAAAAAAGAATTACTTATTGAGCTGGGTGTGGTAGCACAAACCTATAATCCCAGCACTTGGGAGGCTGAGGCAGGAGAATCATTGTAAGTTTGAGGCCAGCTTGGGCAACATGTGAGTTCAAGATCAAGCTGACCCTGTCTCAAGAAAGCAAAACCAAAAAAAGTGTGTTGAATGAATAATCAGTGAATCACTGGCTTGGCTGATGGATAACAGGAAATGTGTGAGGAATAGATGGACAGACACAGGGAAACGTCAGTCAGAAAGGCAAACACTGAGAATGCCTGGGCCAGGTGGGGACCAATCCAGGACCAGTGCGCCCCCATGTGGCAGGATGCTCTCCTGCCTCTGCTTCCCAACTCCCAGTGGAAAAGAAGGGGTCCATTTTCAGAGCCCTCTTATTGGGAATGGGTTTGGTGGGAAGGAAAGAGGAGGAAGCAAAAGCAGAAATAAAAAGCTCAGAGGCAAACAACTAAGGGTTCAGACCCAGTGCCTGGTAGTTTCTGGCTGTGTGACCAGGGCAAGTTGCACTGCCTCTCTGAACCTTGCTTCCCCATCAGGCTGCTAAGGGATGTAATAAAACAGCTCAGAGACAGCAGCTACTTCCTACATTGCATCCCAGTGCTGCAGGAGGCCAGGAGCCAGTCCTGCATGGGTATCACCTTCAAGGAGTCTCCTAAGCCTGGAAGGTGACAGGATCCCCACCGGAACCAGGGGGTGCAAACAGAGGCAGGTGGGTGTGAGGTAGGGTTGTCAGATTTAGCACAAATGCAAACAAAAACCAAACATCATGTACATCTACATTTGAATCAGGAATTAAACCCAGGTCTTCAGCACTGAACTACGACCCCAGCCCTTTTTTAAAAATTTGAGACAAGATCTGGCTAAGTCACTAAGTTGCCCAGGCTGGGCTGGAACTTGTGATCTTCCAGCCTCAGCCTCTTGAAGTGCAGGGATGACAGGAGTGCACCACCACACCTGGCTGGGAATGAGTGTTTGAGTGTTTGAGAGTCAGTATATCACACGTATTTCATGGGATGTACTATAGCAAAAGAAAAGCTGTACCATACTTGTTACTGATCTGAAATGAAAATGTCACCGGGCTTCCTGAGTTTCACCAGCCAATCCCAGCCTGGGGGAGTCTGGGGGTTAACAAGGAAGGCTTGAGAGGGGGGACAAGGGGGCAGGAACAGCGGGAGTGTCCCAGGAAGAGAAGTTTCAGGAAACCCCAGAGTAGCTGTTAAGGCCCCTCCCCCACATGTGCAGAGAGAACGCCCAGCAGGGCTGGGGGGCAGGGCCGTCTCCCAGCACCCTCTGCTTGTGGCCATCTCTCCTGTTTCCCACTACCCAGGGCCCAACTCCTTCTCTGTCCCGTTTTGCTTCAAAGATGGGGGCAGGATCACTAGGAATTTATCTTCCATATCACAATTGGGTTCCATCCCCTACCAGAGCCATCCAGGCACTTAGGCCCCTGGGGAGCTGAAGGCCACTTCCTTGACCTTGGAGCTTTGTGACCTCAGATAAATCCCTTCATCTCTCTAAGCCAGCACTGCCTCCCCTCCTCCCTCTGCTCCAGCCACAGGGGTGCCTTGCTGTTCCTGCCCTGCACCAGGCTCCACCCTGCCCCAGGACCTTTGCACGACTGTGCCCTCTCCCCAGAAGACTTTTCTTCTGTTTCTCTCCATGGTTCCATCTCATGTATCCCCCTCACTTCTGTGCCCAAATATCACTCGGTAAGGCCTCTCCTGAGCACCCTGGTAAAGCTGCACCCCAACATCTGTGACCCTCTTACTTGGCTTCCTTCAGTAGTGCCTATCACCCCCTGACTCCAAATACAGAGCCCTCAGCTATCTGGCTTATTGGCCATCTCTGCTACTGGGTGGCCAGCGGCACAGGGCTGGATTTTTTTGTTTAGCTCACAGCCGTGGGGCCTACAGTCAGCACAGGAGTGGAATAGATACAGATGAATGAATGAATAGGAAGAAGACACCCATAATCATTTATTACCTCAATCATGGGGGGGCTCAAAGTTCCTTGGGAATCAGTCTGCTGCCTGTAAGTGGGTAAACTTAGATGTTCCCTCAGACATGGTAGTGCATGCCTGTCATCCCAGCGCTGTGGAGGCTGAGGCAGGAGGATCTCAAGCTTGAGCCCAGTCTGGACAACATAACGACTTAGCAAGACCCTATCTAAAAATAAATAAATAGGGCCAGGGATTTAGCTCAGTGGTTTCGCCACCTGCTGCCCAAGTGCAAGGACCCGAGTTCGATCCCCAGTACCAAAAAATCAATCAATCAATCAATCAATCAATCAATAACAAATTTAAACTGGATATTGTTTCTTGGGCTGGAGATGAGTCTCAGTGGCCAGCGCTCGCCTGGCAAGCCTGAGGCCCTAGTTCCACCTGGTGCCCACTCCTGCTTTGACACAATGCAGGTGCCACTCAACTGGGAGCTGGAGACTTCTAGAACATTCCCGTTGCCGACATCACAGGAGTTCTGTGGCACAATGCTGTGTCCACCTGGTCAGGGAAAATGCGGTCTGTGACACCCCATTTTCCCCATGCTTTTTCTGGAGGCCTTGGAAGCCCCACTCCATCCATATAATTTATTATTTTTCTTAAATTTCCCCCCATCCATATAATTCAGTAGAAGGGCAGCTGGGTGGTCCCTGGCTGGATGTAGCCCCAGCTAGATTTCATTTGGCCCCATAGTTTTCTGAGAGACAGGACATTTCTGCAGCCTGACTTCCCATAGATGTTCTGATTCCCAGGTGAGTGTCTTTCCTCGAACAAGGCTCTGCTGTTCCAGGGCTGGGCATGGTGCCATCTCCTGCCCAGCCTCTAGAGCCACCTGAGTCTCAGATCTTGGATTATAGACCAAAAGGACAAAGAATAATTGTTTTTTGGGAAAAAAAGTTATGGCAGCTTCAGGAAGGGGTTGATCCAGGAGCCAGAGAATCTGAGGCTTGGACCCTGTAGCATCTTTGGCTGACCATTTCTGGGCTTCAGGGTCTATAAAACGGGGGTGACAAAGGCACAATACAGTGTTGGAAGGATTAAGAGGCAGGATTTGGGGCTGTGCAGACAGAAAGCTTTGAGTGAGGGCTGGCCAATGGGATTCATTGTTCCTATTGCTGACTGCTGGGTAGGATGTGGCGCCTTCACTTTGGGACCCTCTGGCAACCATCGCTGGGATCTGGAAGCCTCCCTTTGGTCCTTGGAAAAGTGGGGGCCTTATGTCCCTCCCCCACTCCCCACCCAGTGCGCCTCGGATTGCACCCACTCACCACCCAGGGCTGAGTTCAGAGTCCCCCACGTGGGGAAGGGCCCCCTCTTTTCTGGGTCCGGCGTCGTCCAAGGTCCCCTGTCCCCTCCAGAGCCAGGGCACGAAGTCCTACTTGACTAAGTGACAGTCACGTCCTGGGCCGGGGGCGGAGGGGAAGGGCGGGGCCGGCGGCGGGCAGCCCCCCGCACATGATTGGCTGTCGGGCCCGTCACTCCCGGGACCCGCCCTCCCATGGGGTAAAGACCCGTCCCGCCCCGTCCGGGCCACTTTCCGCGCTGGCCTTGGAGTTCCGCAGACGGTGGTGAGAAGCTAGGGGCTCCGACGTGACTCAGGGGCGGGGTCCTTGGGGTCCTGGGAAACCTCAGGAAAGGAGGGCGCTGGGCTCCCCGTCCCCGGAAAAATGTAATTGTTGTGACAGAGTGAGACCCTACACTGGGTCCTCACCGTGCCCGGGACAAGGATCTACTTAGTATCGGGCGGGGGGGGGGGCACATCCTGCCCCCTTCCCGATCCCCTGTGCGCCAAAAGCCTGGGCTGCTTTTCCATACGCGGTTGCAGCCGCCAGATTGGGTGGCCCGGGGATTCTGCCTTCTCTCCCGGGACCTCAGGCCTCCCAAGCCGCCCCCCTCCCGCCCCCGCAAATGGCTCTGCTACCCGGGAGCTGCCCCCAGCTCTGGCTGGCACCTGGGGATCTCTTTCCTGGGCAAATCCTGCCTTTCCCATGGGTGGGTGTGGCCGGGAAATTGCGAAAGCTTTATCTGCTGTGGGGCTCTGCACCCTGCTGGGCCTGGGACCTTGGTCTCTTGGAATTCCGAAGTCTTAGTTCTTTTCTTTTTGTGCTGTGGGTTGAATCCAGGGCCTTCTCGCTGAGCTACACGCGAAGCCTTTTTTTATTTTATGTTTTGAGACAAGGTCTCCCTAAGTGGCCCAGGCTGGGCTGGAACTTTCGATCGATCCTCCTGCCTCAGCCTCTCAGAGTGCTGGTTTGACTGGCGTTTATAAGAGGAGAGAGTGGACTTGGGTGGGGATGTGTTTGGGGGAGTTGCGTCAGCTCTGGCCAGAGCAGCTCTGGGTCACGGGAACCAGCGACGTGCACGTCGCCAACCCTGAGGAATTGAGTGGTGCTGACGTCCACAGTGGTCACTCGGGGGGTGCAGCTCCAGGAGGGGGTGGTGGACAGAGGGGGTAGGAGGGAGTGCCTGGAGTCCTGAGTGGGAACTGGCATCTGTGGAGGCCGGGGCTGGGGCACTGGTCTGGCCTGTACTCTGAGTGTGGGGAGTTATAGGTAGAGATGGGCAGGCTGAGATGTGTCCTCCCCTCCTTCCGGCCCAGGAGCCTTGGGTAAGCTCATTCCTGGCCCCCTTTGGGCCTGCCCCCTTTTTGTGTGTGTGCTACTGGGGATTTAACCCCAGTTTTTGCAGATGCACCTCCAGACCTTTTTACTTTTTACTTTGAGACAGTGTCTCTTCAAATTCTCAGGCTGACCTAAAATACTCGCAATCCTCCTGCCTCATCCACCTGGGTGCTGGGATTACAGGCATGTGCCGCCGCACTCGGCTTTAGTTTTTACTTTTGGCCTGGCTTAATTTTTTTAAAAGCTTTATTCTGTTTCTTTGCAGTGTTGGGGATCCAAGCCAGGGCCTTGAGCGTGGTAGGCAAGCACATACCCCTGAGCTGCACCTCAAACCCTTACCTGTTTTCCAACAGCTAATATTACTGACCTGGCTTTAAACTCTGAAGCCTGCGTCTTGTCCCCACCTCCAGCCACCCAATCCTCCTTCCTGAAAGGCGGCCCCTGGTCAGTGTCCTATGTCTCATTAAACACTCTGCAAAAGCCAGCAAAAGCTTTTGCCCAACTGAACACCTTTTAGCAATCTTGACCCGTGTCAGTTATCCTCAGGGTCAAGCCCTGCTGGGGTTAGGGGGATGTGTGTTACTGTATTTATTCATTTATTTGGTTGTTTGAGACAGGCCCTCCCTATATAGCCCAGGCTGCCCTTGAGCTTTCAGCGATCCTCCTGCCTCAGTCTTCCGAGTGCTGGGATCATAGGGGTGCACCACCACGGCCTGGTGCATTATTTTCTTTAATCTCCTCTTCTAGGCTTCTGGGTTGGTCCTAAGATCATGGCATGGCTGGCAGCGGTGTGGTCACTGCCACCCATGTGGCAGAGCTGGCTCGAGCTTGTCCCCGAAGGGAGGTTTCCATGGTAAAGGGAAGGTGGCTGCTGTAAGCTGTTAGGGCTTGGCAGATTGCCTTCTGCAAAGGTTCTGGCCCAGATCTGTGTCTCTGGACTAGAGGTGATAAAGGTGAACCCCTGGAGTAGGAGCCTGGAAAGGTGGCTCATGGCCTGTCATCCCAGCTACTCCAGAGGCTGAGGCAGGAGGATCACCAGTTCTGGTCCAGCCTGGGCTACTTAGTAACTTTAGTGAGCCCCTGTCTCAGATTTAAAAACAAAACAGACTAGGATGCAGCTCAGTGCAAAGGCCCTGAGTTCCAACCCCAGTACCGAAAGGAAAAACTGGCCAAGTCTGGTTTTTGCCATCTGACTTTCTTAGTCACACTTGCAGTTTGGGATGCGCACAGGTGACTCAGGTGTCGCCCAGTGACGGAGGCCCAGCTGTAAGGAATGAGGAGGTCCAGGGCGATTGTGAGCCCAGCATCCCCCGCCCGGTCGTGGGCCAGACTTCCTCTAAGGGAGGGGTCAGGTAGGCTGTCCCTTGACAGTTCCCTCTGCCCACAGTACCTGCTGCTGAGACCATGGATGCCCAGGGGACAGAGGCCAATGGGGACAGCCAGGTGACCCCGGAGGAACCAGTACAGCAGGTGAGGAAGGCCTGGGGCTGGGGCTGCCTCAACCCTGTGACTTGTGTGCAGGATACAGAGAAGTGGGGCAAGAGGCTTCCTTCTTTCTTTCTTTCTTTCTTTCTTTCTTTCTTTCTTTCTTTC